CCTTATGCATTTGGAAACACATCAAAAAGAACAAGTATTCCACGTAGTTTGAGTAAACTTTCAGCAAAACTTTTTTCCTGGGTGTGTGTGTGTGTGTGTGTGTGTGTACGTAAATGTGTGTGTAACAGGTAATTTTTTTGTACATCTTAATTTCCCAAAGAACAGAATTCTAAATAAAAAATATTACAACATTCCTAGAAGGAACCAATATTTTGATTACACAACTCAAGGGGCAAATGATTATTGAAACAAAACTTTAAAGATGGTTACAGATACAGCTTAAAGTTATCTGGCTTTTCAAATATCTAAGACAGGAGCATTACATTTCATTTAGCAAACAACAATTTAATCCTTAGAAAGGAAAATTTCCAGAATACCAACCAAAATGTGTATGGCAACAACCAGCATTATGTTAAAAATAAAGGAAAAAAAAAATCCCACCTTTGTAGTATATTAAAATACAAAGAGTACCCTTAAAAATTTAAAATTATATTGATAAAGGCAAATTCATTAATTTATTTAGCTGTAGATATCTGTTTATTAAAATATTTTGGTTATAATAAACATACAGACATGGGATTTTTTCAGTACTAGCCTATATCTATAAATTATCTTCCACAACAGCTAAACTCTTTATAGAATTTCAAATGGCAGAATTAGGCATATAAATTTCAAGTAATAATCTCAAAGTAGGAGGTTTCGCTAACTGTAACTGGAATGAAGATTTTGAATATACAATATCTTTGGATTATTTATCTATAAATTATCTTCCATAACAGCTAAACTCCTTATAGAATTTCAAATAGCAGAATAAGGCATATAAATTTCAAGTAAGAATCTCAGAGTAGGAGCTTTCTCTAACTCTAATTGAAATAAAGATTTTGAGTACACAATATCCTTGGATTATTTCTTTAAATAGGTGTAATTTAGTGGTAGCTTCAGAAAAAGTATGTTCAACAGACATTATATCTGAGACATTAAAAAAGCCCAATACAACCAATTCAAATTAGATATTATGCTATGCTCTACCTAAATAAGACTCTCCAACGAATTCAAGTTTTTATACTTTGTGCACTCTCAATGCATTTTCTAATTCAGATAATCAGCCAGTGTGTAAAACCCAAACATGAAGAAACTTATACTACCCTTTGTGAGAGAGGAAAAAAATCACAATGACAGCACTTTTACTTAGGTTGACAATAAACTAATCATAACTTGAAGTGTCCAAACAAACTGAATAACTCAATGGTCTAATGTAATTGGAAGAAATATTTTTCCTTCACTCTTACAGAAACTGAATTTATTTGTTATTAGTATCTAGTCTGTCGAAGTGGCAACTATTAAGATCCAAAAGTCTCATTTATTTTAAACAGAGAGCCTAATTCTGACTACTTATAGTTAATGTAACTTTCTTCAGCCAAAGTACAATAAAAATGTAAGAGAAATTTCAAAGGTTGTATAAATAATAATGGCATTCTGAAACCTCTGGACAGATGATTATTTGGGGGAAGGGGAAGTTTCCCTTTCCCATTGATAATTTAATCACTTTTCAATCAGTTTTGATTTAACAGTGGTTCATGGGAATAATTTTTAATGAGTTCTTAGAAAGGTGTAATTGCTTCCAAAATCAGAAACCACAAGATGATGTACTCAAACACTATGCCGATGTAATGCTGTTCGGGAGGTATTTACAGAAAGGTGCAGATAGGAGCTCAGTTGTGAACACATGTTAACATAAAATGGGCTTCAAAACAATAATCTGTTTGTACAGTAGGGAAAGAAAAAATAGTCTGTATAAGATATACAAAAACCCAGCTCTAATTTTAATCTATTTCTATAACTCATAAAAAACAAAGGAAAATAGGCATTTATTTCAAAACTCCATATACCTGTGGAAAACGGAGCACAAGTCAATTCTATTTGAGATGAACCTTAATCTCAAACAGAATTCAGCTAACAACATATTTTAAATTTTGAAAATATTGTGAAAATGTCAACCATTAAAGTCAACAGTAGTATATGATCAGTAAACATTTCCTGTTAAATAACACAAATAAATTCAACTTAAAAGATGCAAACTGATAGGTCTCAGGATTTTAAAACCTTTTAATTTCAAAGTAGCAGAGTTACAGCACATGTATAGGATGGGCTTTAAAAATGGGTATGCGTAAACTTTTCCATGGTGTTGGTGTATGTGCTTTTTTTCTCCCCTTAAGGAAATGCCTACTGCTTACAGTGTAAAAGAATCTCCACCATTCTGTCTGCAGTTTTCAACCAGAAGTCTTCAATGTACCTTAAGCCAAATTGAATATTAGGTATTTTACAGCTTTTATAAAATGGCTGTAAAATCACATTATGGGCATACACAGCTCTTTGATCTTACTGCACAGAATTCATACTGTTCAATAATGCTATACCATTACACCACACACCTTAAACTATTTCCATTTTTCCACAAATCCTTCCAAAATCAGCTTCCAAAGCAAAGAAAGGTAACATGAAAAGTTCCTGGGATGCTTGTTACACAAAAGAACAGCTTGGATACAAACTAATCTACACAATATCCATCTTCTGTTGAGCCTGTTTATCTCTCCTTTCCCTCCATCACTCCTAAAGGTGGGTGCATTTGAGTAATGGAAAGAGATGGCTCTTACACCACCACACCCTCCCAGCACCTCTGCCTTTGGTCTTCAGACAGTGATTCAGTGCAGGTGATGAAAATCATAAGAAAAGAGAAGCTGTCCCTTTAAAATGCCCTGCTCTGTCCCATATCCCACGTGGAACCAACATCAGCAGCACTTTCCCATTAACTTCAATGTGATGCAAGAGGCACCATCCTTTTATATACGTAAAACCAGAAAACTTCAGCTTAATATTCTTTACAGAGGATGAACAGGTGAAGCAAACGGGTCAGGAAGGGAGAAACCAAGCAACGCCCCACCCCTCCCCAAAAGGTGCTCCAGTCCTGCACTCCAGTATCTCTGTGCAACATCACCTCTCTACCCCTCCTCTGTAGAGCCCAGTTTAAAGAAAGGAGGGAGCCACTAACAAAACCTGAAACATAAATGCGACGAAAATGCAATCTAAAGCCGGAAAGGTTTATTCTTCCAATCACACATATTAACTCTATTAAGAAAATGGCATCACTTTTTTTTCCACCAAAAAAAAAAAAAACCCACCCCGCAAAGATCATTAAAAGAGAGTTATAAAATAGCAAATATAGTGTTTATCTTATCTCAGATCAGTCCACATTACCAATAAGTTTAGCAGTTTCTGCACTACCACCTCCCCCCTCCCTCCCCCTCCTTCTCTTGCATCGGATTTTCACGTTTTCTCATTGTCGGTTGAGTTATAAAAGGCTTTTGCCCTTCGAAAGTTTTAAAAAATAAATAAATATTAACTCCTTGGTCCCTGCAAAGTCAAAATGGACTTCAGGGGAAAGGCGGTTCATACTTCTACCTTTAGCGAGAAAAGGGGGAGCATCCCGGATTTTTAGGGATTTTTTGCGATTTTTAAAAAATTTTTATTTGGTTATATGCCTGAGTTCTCCCTCCATTTTGGTTGTTTATGATACTGACAACAAGCTGTCCCTGCTCTGTGCAGATCTCCTGCTTTCATTTAGCACCCCCTCCCCCTACCCCCGCCCTCGCAGCCACACATCCAGGGCTCACACCTCCCCGCAGACCCCGCACCCCGACCCCGACTCGCCCACCTGAGGAAAGGGCAAAAACAAATTCATTTCTCCAAAAAAGAAAAACCTCTTTTGAAAAAGGGGCAAAGTTACCCCAAGTCACTCAAAGTGCCCCCCAAATATTGCCGACTGCGGGTTTCCGCCAGGCCCTTTGGGAAGCGACCTTCCCCCGGGATGTTTTGGTGGAAAATGCGGAGAGTTTACTCTCAAAACTGAATTTATATTAATTTTTCCCTTATTTTTCGGGTCTCTAATGTCTTCCGCTCTCGCTGCTGCCGCTGCCGCTGTCACAATATTCACAGCACCAGAGAGGAGGAGGAGGAGGAGGAGGAAAACTTTTCAAACTTTCCAGACCCTGAATAAAGGGTTTTTTTTTTTCCCACCGACCTCACCTTTGGGTCTCCAGCCGCATCGCCCCCTGCCCTGTCAGAAGCGACTTCGGGAGTCCCCACACCCCCGCTTAATTATTTTATTTTATTTTTTATTATTATTTTTCTCTCTGGGGTCCTGAGCAGGGGCTGAGAGTAGCACAAACTTTTCCTCCTCCTGCCGCCGCTGCTGCTCCTCTGCCCCCTCGGCTAGTCCCATAATTTAAATAACCCTGATATTTCTCCCGCTAAACGCCTCTCCGCCGCCCCGGACCCCGGGAGAACTCACCGCGGGGCTTTAACATCCTCCCTCCGGCCCGTCCGCCGCCTTTACACCGCCCGCGGAATTTCTAATAATTTTTTTCTCATATTTCGGGCTGGACGCGGCGGGCCTGGAAATTGTTTCCTTACGCCTCTTTCCAGCAGCCATTGTAGTGTATGCGCTGCCCCTGCAGCCCAACTTGCAGCTGCCGCTGCCGCCGCCGCCGCCGCCGCCGCCGACGTCGCGCCCACCGCCGCCTCCCCCGGCCTCCTCGGCCGCCGCCCCCGCCTCCCGCCGGCCCGCCCCCGGTCCCCGCCCGCCGCTGTGCCCGCCCCCCGGGCGGGCTCCGCCCCAGGGCCGGCCACTAGGCGTCGCCGCCGCCAGGGACGGGCTCGCCGATTGGGCTTTGGTGCCGCCCATCAAACCAAAGTGTTAAGAGGCGGGCCGCGGCGTGGGGGGCGCGGCGGGGCGGGGGATAGGGGCGTGGCCGGGCGCCCAGCCCCGCCCACTCCTCCCACCTCGGCCCTCCTCCCGCCAGCTGGAGGCGGGGCGAGACCCGCCCGCCCCCGCCCAGCAGGGCCCGGGAGGGCTGTCAGTCTGGCGGCGGCGCGCGTTGATTGGGCCGGCGGCCGCCGGGGAGCGGGGGCAGCACGTTGGGATGCGCGCTACTTAAGGTCCTGCTGCGTGAGCCATTGACGTGTTTGGAGCTGGAGACAGCCTGGGAGCTGGCAGGGTGGCCGTCCGAGGTGAGTGGTCCCCCGCCCCTCCTTTCGCGGCGGCTGCGGGGATGCGAGAAGAGAGGAGTGTGCACCTGGGTCACCGCGGGCCCGAATCCTTTCTTTCGGCGTGAAGCCGCTGCCACCAGGCCCTGCCTCAGGGCAGGCCTTTTCCTGTCGCTTCTCCTTTCCACGACACCGGTTTGTTCGGGCTGGAGACGAGGAAAGTGACCCTCGCTCTGCCTGGGCACCCCAGCTCTTCCTTTACCCTGCTTCTCAACCTTTGGGGCGTAATTGCCACCCCCCCACTCCCAGTTTCCTGCGTTTTCCTGTCCCTCTACCCTACTCGGCTCCATCGAAGGTCAAAGCAAGGTGTGTTCTGTGCCCGTCGTCCACCGTTAGACCGACAGGCAGCATCGCGGAAGGTCGCGAGACTGCGGACTCGCACCTCCAGTTTCTTCATTCGACTTCCCCAACCCTCCCCGCCATGCTATGCCCACTTCCTGACCCTGCCTTTCTGCACTCAGCAGTGGGGTAAGGGCTTTAGGTTCTCGCATAACGTATTTCAGTTTCGCTAGTTGCATCTGCGTTTTATCAGAGCCACAGACCCCTGCCTTGGCTCTGACCAGCATGTGAGCATGGACGTGTTCAGTAACGTTTTCTTCCTCTGGGGATGTGAACTGTGGGGATGTGAACTGGATGGAAAATCAACACATACTTTTTAAAGCAATTTGCCTTTTGGAGAAGGTGTTAGAGTTATTCCTCAACTGTGCTGTGCTTTTGCGGCCCCTCAAATCTTTGGTTTTCTTTCTGGCTGTCCTTTGCATGTAGAGCTCTGTAATATTTGTTTAGTGCCTTCAGAAAGTAAGCAGGCAAGCCATCTCTGGCAGGACACTCTATCTTCCCTTTAGCCCTTCTCCTCCTTGTAAACAGGCATTTCCTCTTCATTTCCAGTCGATACGTGAGGATTCAGGCAAAGAAGGTGACATTTAGAAATCCAAACTTACATTGACTTGTATGTAGAATCCGGAAGGGAAAGGAAAGGAAATTGAATAAATTAATCCTTCAAACCTGATTTGTGTATATATGATGTTACCTAGATGTTATTTTAAAAGAATTCTTGACTGATAATGATAATAAAATGCAGTGAAAGTGCATTTTCATATAAGGCACGCAATCAGAGTTTTGTGTATGTCTCATTATTGTTGAGATTATATATAAGGAATATAAACAGCTAAGTAGAATTCTGTGTTCTTACATCATAGGATGGATGTAAAAGAGAAGGATGTGGTTTTACTTAGTACTGTTATCTCTTAGTGAGAAGTCAAGCGAGCAAAAGAATTGCGTTCAGGAGAGGAAGAAGCTTCTAGATAAAATTGAATAGCACCTTGAATTTCGTTTTTACCTAGATGCTTTTGTTAGCTAGGTGTATTCATGTATTGTTCAGGGAAAATCATGAAATGTAAGGATTACTTAGAAGATTCCTAAAAGTGAAGAACTGGAATGACTAAACTTTTCTCTTTTAGCCTGGACACCCTGGTCTCTGAACTGGGTGACTCTTGATTACAAATACCTCCACTTTTTAGGAGCTTATGGGGTTTGATTGATTTTCCTGAATGTACCTTATTTCTTTTACCATGACTGATATTTTTTGACCGTGTCATCTAGGGCAAGAAAAGTAGAAACCATTTCATACAAAAATTCTGACCTTTGTCTGGTTATACTGACTGATGCAGTTTTTTATTGGGTGGTGTTGCGTAGGTCATATTGCGTTGCCGCTTGTTTCTCCTTCCAGTTTTAGGTGGAAGATGGTTAAGGTAGAAGAGAATTCGAGAGTACATATTAGCTCAGCTCCTTAAACTTAGTGCAGAGCATTTAAAAATGTTTGTGGGTAGCTCATCAATAGTATACTGATATAGTGGAATGAAAAAATCACTTTGAAATATTAAATAGTTTGTTGACTATTGTTTTTTTAATTTTCTTTTAGTTCCTTTCTATGACATGTTTTCAAAGATAATAGGCATACCAGTTTCAGATGAACTCCGTTATAGAGATCAGTTTTCCTGGAACATAGTTGACATATATGAGTACTGTGTGACTTGACTTGGAATCACTAGGTGGCTCTTAGGGAACTGTGATAATCTTTAATTGGTGAGGACTTCTGCAGAGCTCTCCATGTGTAAGGCTTGAGTTGGAAGATTAATGAACCACAGTAGCATTTTGTGACTTCCTTTAACCCAGGGAATTATCAGTTAAATAGAAGGTACCACTGGGAGTAAAGTTTCAGTTTTTCTTTTTTAGCTTTTCAAAATGCCAACTAAGCAATAACTTTGTTTTTTAGTATATTGACCACCCTGGTGCTGGCTACAGAGTATGCAGTTAGGTTTAGTAAACAAATGTTTTTGCTACTGTTGGTTCGTACTATTTGTTCCACACTTATTTTGTATAATGATCAAATGTATAATAAGGAAGTAATCATTAGAATGCATGCTATATTTGGGAGGCCTAGGTGGCTCAGTCAGTTAGGGATTGGACTCTTGATTTCAGCTCTGGTCATGATCTCAGAGGCCTGGGATTAAGCCTGGAAGGGAAGCACACTCCCCACTCAGCGGGGAGTCTACTTGTCTCCCTCTGCACTTCCTGCCTCCCCACACTTGTGCATATTGGCTTGCTCTCTCTCTCTCTCTCTCTCTCAAATAAATGAATAAATATTTTTTTGAAAAAGAATGCATGCTGTATTCTTAGTTTTTTTTAAAATGTGTTTATAGCTTAACTTTTAGAAGTAAAGATAAACTAAAACTGAACTATAACTGAACTTTCTTCCTGGACATTATAATCAAATTTCGGTGGATTAATTTAAATACGGCCCTGAGGCACCATGGCAATTCAAAGGAAAAACCCAACCAAATATTTATTCTCATAATCGAGAGGGCATACAAAGTTCCTTACTGGATAAGCATCCCAATATTAATTTTTCAAGTACTCAGGGGTCTAATGAGATGTATTGATTTATTTTCTGTCATTCACTGTGTAACTCTTTTTTCTAACATCTCCCTGCAGTAAGAAAAGTATTAGGATGCCCATGGTAGCACGGAGGCTGAGAGATCCTGACATAAACCCTTGCTTGTCGGTAAGGTGATTTGCTTTTAATTTTCACGAGTATTAACTTGGAAAAACAGACTTGTGTTCTTACAGGCATCCATTTTCTGAAGTTCTTGAATAAAGTTATTTCTATACAAAAATATTCCTGGCCAGCATATCCTTCTTTCACCAGAGCAGTTTTAGGTATTCATAATTTAGGTAACAAAGATCCATCCCCTCAAAGTTTCCGTTTGTATAGTGTGCAAGCATATATTTGCCACTGTAACACCAGACGGAATATGTAACACCAGGGAAAGTCTGTAGTCCAAAAGTGGAAAGTGGCAAAGTATATTTTTCAACTGCCACTGAAATTTGTTTTAATAGCAATAATTTCATCCTGTCCTTGAGACAGCCTGGCGATGAATAGGGCCTATAATGGAATTTGCCTATTTAAAGCCTAAAGCGTCCCACAAGGGTATCATGTACACAAAATGTTTTGTTGTAATAATAAAGTCTTACTGGCATCTGTTTGGTATGACTAGCAATACTGACTTGTGGCTTTGTCACCCTGGAGTTGTCACCCTGGAGTAATGCATTCATCAGACTGGTGCCATTCCCTGAGCCAAATGGCATTTTTCAAATGCACACATTCATTAAATATTTGGCATAGAATTTTAGCTTTGTTTTGTATATTTGATCTGTTTTGAACAGCTTTATTAAGTTTCTTTAGATAGACCATGTTTCTTATCCGTGAAGCAAATTACCTACCCCTTGAGTTAAAGCTTTCCTTTAGATGAGCTCTCAGAATCATACTTTTCATTTTGAAGTTTGTTATCCAATCTACTTCCAGTTTAGACAGCTTAATTTTAATTCCCAAATGGCTCTTACCTTTGAACTCACCACCCTGTGTTGCTCACTTAGGTTTTGAAGTGATATTAATGATATCTATTAAAACTGCATGCATAATAGTATATGTACTTGCATAATGGAGGGAATGATAGCCAAAAATACATTGAGATGAGTGGTGTTAATTTACATTGCCTTGATGTAGACCAGTTATTAGCAACTTACTTAGGATCTTGAAACAGTCAAGTCAAAGTGAGAACTTGGAAAAGCAGGACAGCTGCAATCTGCTTTGGGAGATTGGGTTTTGATTCTCGCTGTGCAGTAGTGATTTTCAGCACCTTGTACCTTGCCTCCACTTCTTTGTTGAACGGTAACTGGGGTAAATGATCTCAGTCTGCACCCTGGCTCAAGTTCCCATGATCAGATATTCAGAAAACTGACTCAGACTATGAAAAGGAAGATGTCTGCCCTGAGCAGAATGAGTGCTGGGATGGTAGGGAAGATAATTCAGTTTCTGTTCATTACATGCTCGTTAAAAGGAGCAAAAGGGAATGAGTTCGTATTATCTGTTCTGGAGGGAAGTGGCTTCAGAAGTTTGGGGGTTTTTTGTTGTTTTTTTTTTAGATCCCATTCCACCCTCTTTAAATGATGCCTTTCTTACATATTAAAGGAATCCGATGCTTCTACCCGATGTATGGATGAAAATAACTACGACAGGGAACGGTGCTCCACTTACTTCTTAAAGTATAAAAACTGCCGGAAATTCTGGGTAAGCCTAGCTTGGTTAGCTTTGTGTTAAAACTCCTCTCTTAGGCTTGAAACTGAAGCCCCAAATTAGTGCATACCCACAGTCCCTTCTTGGTGATGGTTTCCCCTTCTGGGGAAACAAGTTTTTCACTCTCCTCTGTGTTTCCTGAAGGATACTTGCGAGCTTTTAGTGGCTGCCTCCTCCTTCTCCAGGCTGGAAGAATGCAGGTCTCCTATGGGTGGGTCTTCCTATGAGTGTTTAAGAGCTGCAGCCCTAACACAATAACCTTGTTTTAATTTTAGTTCTGGGGATGAACAGAATGGAGAGCTTGCTTTGTCATAATGCATTTTATGCTTCCATTTCTGCCTTCTCCTTTCCCACCACCTCTCATGGTTGTTAAAATGGTCCCATTTTTCTTGAGACATTGGTGTGTGACTTCTGTATCTGAGCACTAGATCCAGCTACTTCCTTTCCAGATCTTCTAAGTTAACTGTTGCTTTCATGTAGTAATTATTTAGTAGATCCTCTGGACAGACTGGACTCTTGTGCTCCCGCACTTCAGTAATGTATATTCCCATCCCAATTACCGTCAACGTAGTTGGAATGGTCACTTCTATTTAATTAGTTTGAAAACATAATCTGAAGTCCTAGAATTAGTTTTTTGGTTCCTCTTTACACTTGGTTTTTAGAATTTCCTCTTTGAGGAAGTAGTGGCCAATAACTGGCAAATGAGTAGCATTTGATATATGACTGATTTGGATTTCTTCTTTTTATACTTACGTGCAGAATTCTATCATGGTCCAGAGAAGACAGAATGGAGTGACACCATCTATGCCTACAGCAGCAGAAAGAGATGAGATCCTGGGGTCGATGGGAAAGATGCCTTACTGACTGTTTGCATTAAAATTGTTTATTTAATTTAGAAGCAGATGAATACTTTCAACAAAGATTACCGTAATCTTTTAACCCCTTTTAGGCCTTACCCAGACAGATCTTAAATTCTACAAGAGCAGATAGAGTTAATTTAGCCTTGCGTCCTTTGTGTTTGCCCTCAGTGCTGTGAGATAGTCTGCCAGTGCTGACTGTGCCATGCTGCTGAGTTCACATGACTTGCCAAAGGTAAGGGAGCATTAGGAAAGGTGATGGGAGGAGTGGAGCCTTTCACCTGGCTAACAAGCAAAGGTAACAGGTAAACACTTACTGGCAGTGAAAGGATGGTGGTTTCCAGGGATGGGAAATGACGCGAGCAACAACATGGTGGAAAGAAAGCTCAAGCTAACTTTGGAGAGTGGTCTATAGGCTGTTTAACATAGAGTTTAAGGTGGTTGGAGTGGCAGAACAGAGACTGGAAGGTAAGTTCACGGTGGATGAGCAGTGGGCCTCAGATCTCAGGCTCAGCAAAGTAAGACCTCCATGCTCATTTCACTCCCTTGTCTTTGTTTAAATCAGAGTAGTACATTAACTGGGCAGGGAAGAAGCGGTGTGGGAGGGTTGTCGAATAAATGGCCTTCAAAAAAACTGGTTTTCTTTCTCTTTTTTTTTTTTCTTTCTTTAGGGAAAGGCTTTAGTTAAAAGATTCTGTGACTAAAATCCATACATACTTGATAACTTGAAGGCCTATACTCTTGAAGCACAGTAATGGGAGAGAAAAAGATTTTCTTAGAAGGGGGATTTCTGTTCGCAGGAAGAGGTGGGCAAGGAAAAGTATGAACACACTGGGATGAGACTAGAGCTCCACTTCATTTTGTGCTATAAACACACAAATATTCAGTATGGTGATTGGGGTAGGTTGTGTGGCAGCTCTCATATCTACCATGTTTTTAAATCCAGTTTATTTCATTTACAGGCCAGTTTTAGAACCTATTATTTAATAAAATTTAATGCATACTAAAAAAATCAATGAAAACAAATAGCTCGTGTCCCTTCTCTTTATCTGGTGCTGGATCAAGAGTGTTATTTTAAAGGCTGCTGACCACAAACTATCCATCTCATTGGTCTAGTCCAAAACCCAGGTCAGATGTTTTTAAGCCATATGACCCTGATTGTTAAATGTGATTCTATTTGAATAAAAGTTGGATTGTTTGAGAAACGCCTTGATTTGTATTGATTGCTCTAAAAATGATGGATTAAAATAGGACCTGACAAGAAACTAATACTTGTGTGACAAGCATTTCAGTATTTTAAGCATGCTGTTCAAGGGTTTGGAATTTTACTGTCACCTCTTTAAATGTACCTACCAATATCAACATTTATCCAGGAGCTATTTGTCTTGGCCTAGCCCTTTAAAAAAAAAAAAAAAAATAGCAAGTTTATTGAGATACAATTCAGATACCATATAAATCATCCACTTAAAGTATACAATACAGTGATTTTTAGTGTATTGACAAAGTTGTGCAGCCACCACCACAATTGATTGTAGAGCCCTTCACTCCAGAAAGAAACCGTAAGCACACATTCATTTCTTCTTAACACCTCCCTTTCTCTTCACCTCTCCAACACTTAGGCAACTATTTTCTATCTCTAGAATGAGCTATTCTGGTCATTTATAGGAATGGAATTGTATAGTATGTGGTCTTTTGTGACTGGCTTCTTTTACTTGGTCTAATGTTTTCAAGACCCATTCATGTTACCTGTATCAGCCCTTCATTGTTTTTTGTTGCTGAAAGGCATTCCCATTGTATGGATCTACCATATTTTTTGTATCCATTCATCAGTAGATGGGCATTTTGGTTGTTTCCACTTGGAAGCTATTATGAGTCATGCTGTTTCTGGAATATTTGTGTACAAGTGTTTGTGTGGTTATTCATTTCTTTTTGAATATATCCCTAGGAGTTGAATTGCTTGGTCATATGGTAATTACGTTTAAACTTTGAGAGCACTGAGAAACATTTTCCGAAGTGGCAGCACCATTTTACCATGTATAAGAGTTCCAGTTTTTTTACATTCTCATTGACACTTATTATCTGCCTTTGATTACAGTCATCCAAATGGGTGTGAGCTGGTATCTCAGTGTGGTTATGATTTGCGTTTTCCCGAAGGCTACTCATGTTGAGCATCTTTTTATGTGCTTACTGACCAGTCATATGTCTTCCTTGGAGAAATGTTCATTTAGATCCTTTGCCTATTTTTAAGTTGAGTAATGTATCTTTTTTACTTAACTGTGAGAGTTCTTTATATATATTAAATACAAGTCCCTGATCAGATAGAGGTATACAGATGTTTTCTTCCCTTCTGTGGGTTGTATTTTCACTTTATATTATCCTTTGAAACACAAAAGTTTTCAATTTTGATGAAGTCCAATTTCTTTTTTCTTTTGTTACTTTCGGTGACCCTTCTAAGAAAGCATTGCTTAATTCCAGGTCAAAAAGACTTAAAACTATCTTCTAAGAGTTTTGTAGTTTTAGTTCTTATATTTAGGTCTTTGATCCATTGAGTTAATTTTTGTATGTGGTATGAGGTAGGAATCCAACTTCTTCTTCTTCTTCTTTTTCTTTTTTTTTTTTTTTGCATGTGGCTGTCCAGGTCCTAGCACCTTCGGTTGAAAAGGCTGTGCTTTCTCCTATTGGATTGTCTTGACACTCCTACTGCAAATCCATTATGTATGTCAGAGTTTATTTCTGGATTTTGAATTCTATTCCATTGATCTATATGTCTGTCTTAAGTCACACTGTCTTGATTATTGTAGCTTTGTAGTAATGGCATAGCTCTTTGATGAATGGTTTCTGTTAAGTGTGTTTTCTATGAAGTACTCTTGGTGACAAACTAATTGGGGACTTTTGACCAGCAAATCATTAATGTGTGTAATCATAAGGTGGCTCTACTTGGGCAAGGATGTTCAGTTCTAAATTTTTCTTCACTAATTCCCCAATTCCTTGTTGGCCTCTTTACACCATACCCTGATAACTTCAGCATACTCGTCTTATACCCAAATTATGTAAGACTTTGCTGTACCACTTTGGAGGGGAAGAGTCCCATCCCCACTGTCACATTTGCCAGTATTGTCATTCTCATTCCAAGACACTACAGGAAAAGTGAGGCTAATTAACCTGATAAATCATTTGTATCAGGATGTATATTGGTGCAGTGAGAAAATTTTCAGACAAGCCTTTGATATCAACTATCAAATATTTTACTGTGTTTACCCACATCTCTCAGAGAAAGTGTCTCACTGCAGATTCTCCATGCCGTGGGAGAGATGCTGTGAGGTAGTATGTAGAAGCAATCCTTTTGAGGATCATTACCTACTTGAAAGCTCCCGGTGGATATAAGCTATATCATGCATGGTTATATCCCCAATACCAGGTAAGCGTCTAGTGTGTGTAATTGATCAACAAATGTGTATGTGTGGGGGATGGGGGTGGCTTTTAAAATTGAACACATTGAAAAACATGCTCAAACACCACAAAACGGTACACGATGTTCAAAGGTCCAAATAATGCAAAAGAAGATAAATCCACCCAGAAGCAGCCCATGTCAAGTTTTCATCAAGTTTCCAAGTCAAGGTTCTTATGCATATAAAGGATATCTGTATGTTTGTTTTTCACAAAAGGAACAACCTATTGTATAAGCCGGGGATACCTTGCTTTTTCCTGTTATTGATACAATTGGGAATAATTCTCCACCTGTAATCCTAGATTTACTCCATTTCTTTCAATGACTGCAGTTTTCCTTTATGTAGTTATATTGTTACTGAACCAGCCTCCCGCTGATGGGTTCGCTGTTAGAGACGAGGTTGCAACCTGCATGCATTACTGTGTATGGTTCTTTGCCTGTTCTGTTTTCATCTCTATAATACATTGCTAAGAATAGAATTTCTAGATTAAAGGATCCTGCATGTTAAATATTGTGGGTATTGACAAGCCGCCCTCCCTGAAGGAACACACCGGTTTCTGCTCCAGTGAACAAAGCCTGTGAGTGTTTTTTCCTCACACCCTCAGTCCTACTGGTGCAATAGATTTTTTAAAGATCTATTTATTTATTTGTTTATTAGAGAGAGAGAGAGAGGGAGGGGCAGAGGGAGAGCAGGAGAGAAACTTAAAGCAGACTCCACGCTGAGGGAGTGCGGAGCCCAGCACAGGGCTGGATCTCAAGACTGCGCCAAAACCCAAGAGTCTGACTCTTAACAGACTTCGCTACCCATGTGCCCCCCAAATGGGTACCTGAAAACCCTTTCATCCTTACAACTGTCAAATGAAAAATGGAATGGGTATACTTACTTCCTTTGTCCATTTTTTTTTTTTTTAAGATTATTAGTGTGAATGATCTGGGGAACTCTTGATTTTGTAAGGAAATTACCTCTTTGTTATTTATATTCTGTATCTTTCGTCTCTCAACTTAAAATTTCTGCACAGTGATTTACATTTTAATGTAATTAGATGGACCGATCTTTTTGTTTATGTTTTCTGGTGCTCAATAAATATGAAATGAATCCAACTACAAGTACTGCTATTACAGTTCAATTCTGCTCAACAAATATTTGCCAAGTGTCTATAATGTGCAAAGTGCTAGGCTAAAGGGGGTGGAGGAGCATGCATGAGTAAGTCACCATCTGGCCCTCAAAACACTTCACTGTGCTGTGTGGGAGGAAGAAGCCGGGAGGAGGAAGTGAGTACCTCAGTAGGAGCAAGAGCAAACTTCTAAGAGGGTAAATACCTTAATAAAAAAGGGACACATGCTTTTGGGGTATCGGGGATTAGTCTCTACTGACTGAGACCAGAGTATGTGAAGGAAGAAATGTAGAACAGGTAGAGTAGGTTTACATTACGAGGGGCCTTGAATTCTATGCTTGGGACTTTAAACCTTGTTCAGTATCTAAAGGAAAGCTACTGAAGTGTGATGGAGAGGGTTAAACACAATCAGTTTGTGTTTGGAAGAAAAATTCAGGAGGTGCCGAGATAGGATTTTACAATGATCCTAGATCACTGCAACTGTCTCACTGTCTTCCTCCATACATTCTTGCCTGACTCCAATTCCTTTGCTATGCAGCAGGCCAGAGAGTCTTTCCAAAATGCAAATACAAGTCTGAAAATTCCAAGACCATTGCCTCAGGACACATGTCCAAATTCCTTCCCTTGGTTCACAGGGTCCTCTACGATCTGGGGACATTTGTGAAAGGGTGCAGACTTGAGGAAGTGGGGAATGGGTCTGCTTTTGGAAACATAAGACCAAACCTGTGTCTTCAAGGACCTTCCATCTCAGCGAGGGAGACAGACACAGAAATATTAGACTGTATCCTTTCCCTGTGGGATGTCTTACTGCCACCTTCTCCATTGCCCGACACACCCAATTTTCTCAACTTGAGTGTCCATCTCTCAAATGCTGCGGTTAAGTCCTGCTTTCAGGTTCCACTTACATGGATTGTCTCTAGTATCCCTTGCCAGCACCACCAGTCAGAATGAATGCCCCCTCTTCATTCCCCCCCCATCTCTAGGGTGACACTCACCGTGTATTCCCTGGCTAGCTGCGGACGTCATCGGATGTGGTTACATTAGGCAAACAAAGTCACCTAGATGTTCTTTTAATTTCTCACTCTCTGTTTTTATTTT